GCCCCGCCCTCAGACGACCACGACGACGACGACGACGACGACGACGACGACGACGACGACGACGAGGACGACGAGGACGACGAGGACGACGAGGACGACGAGGACGACGAGGACGAGGACGAGGACGAGGACGAGGACGAGGACGAGGACGACGACGACGACGACGATGCCGCCCCCGTGGGCCAGCCCTCCCTGTCGGCGCCGCGTCCTCGCCAATGGGCCAGGGCGAGGATGAGCCATTTCACCACGGGCGTTCTCGCTCGGCTTCGGGCCTTCTCGCTCGGCTTCGGGCCCCGGGGCCATCCCAGACCGATGCGGCTCGAAAGGATGCCGCAGGAGGAGGATGGAGTTTGCAGGGTTCCCGTCGTGATCTTTCGCGATGCTTCGGACGGGGCCAGGACGAGAACAGATCCACTCCAGGGGGTTTCGGAACGCTCCCGGAGCGCTGCGAGAAGGCCGCGGCGCCCGAGACGTCCTCCAGGTCCGCCGGATCTCCGAGCTCCTCGATGCGTCCTCGCCCGATGTTGTCCTCGTCCTGGCTTCGTCCGACGCCCACCCCCGCCGCCTCGGCGCCCTCGGCGCCGCAGGCGGCGTGGACCCTCGCAAGCGCGCAGGCGGTCAGCGCCCCGACCAGCCGCGGCTCCGCGCGCGCGAGCTCTGCCAACCCCGGCCGCGCCGCCGCCATGGCGGCGCCTGCCGGCAGCCTCGCGCGCGCCAGGCCCGCACGCCCGCCCGCCGCGGCGGCGGCGGCGGCCGCGTGAGCGCGAGCTCGAGGGCGCACCGGCGATGACGCTGGCCGCGCCGGGCGGCCGGGGGATCGGGCCAGGGCAGCGGCGGGGCGGACGGCATCATCCTAAGACTTAAGAAGTACGAGAGACGAAGGAAGAAAGCAGAGACGACTACGAAGCAAAGAACGCACGACCGTTCGCAATCCACCACGCCAGGATATTCACTCAGCATACTTCCTTCTCCTCCTCCTCCTCCTCCTCCTCCTCCTCCTTTTTATCCCCCTCCTTTCTCCTCCCCTCCTCCTCCCCTCCTACCTCTCCTCTCCCTTTCTCCTCCTCCTCTCCCTCCTACTCCTCTCCTCTCCCTCCTCCTCCATCCTCCTCCTCCTCCTCCTCCACCTCCTCCTCCTCCTTACTATACCGGCTCCTCCTCCTCCTCCTATCTCCTCCTCCTCCTCCTTTCATCCTCCTCGTTCCTCCCTCCTCCTCTCCTCATCCTCCTCCTCCTGTCTCCTCTTCCTCCTCCTCAATCTTCCTCTAATCCTCTCCTCTACTCTATTCTCGTCGTCTCCTCCTACCTCCCTCCTCCTCCTCCCTCTCCTCCTCCTCCTCCTCCTCCTCCTCCTCCTCCTCCTCCTCCTCCTCCTCCGCCTCGCGATTAGCCGCGGCGGCCACGTCTATCTATGCCGCGCTTCGCCCGCGCCGCGCCCAAACCCGTGCCCGCGCCCGAACCCGTGCCCGCTGCACACGGGTGATTTACACTGCCGAGAGGGTTTGGGTTCCGCTGACAGCTCAGGGCATTGACACGAGAGCGGAGGCTGGTGAATAGAAGAAGCGACGCGGCAGGGATGGTGTGGTTCGAGGCTCGAGGATCGAAGCTCGAGGCTCGAGGATCGAAGCTCGAGGCTCGAGGCTCGAAGCTCGAGGCTCGAGGCTCGAAGCTCGAGGCTCGAGGATCGAAGCTCGGTGCTCGAGGCTCGAAGCTCGAGGCTCGAGGCTCGAAGCTCGAGGCTCGAGGCTCGAGGCTCGAGGCTCGAGGCTCGAAGCTCGAGGCTCGAGGCTCGAAGCTCGAGGCTCGAGGCTCGAAGCTCGAGGCTCGAGGATCGAAGCTCGAGGCTCGAGGATCGATCGTCCACCCTCGGGGCCCGCAGCCCAGCCGACGCGCCGCGCGGCGCGCCACCGACCCCGCGCTCGGGCGTGAGCACGCAGCAAGACGACGCCAGGACGAGGACGACATCGGGCGAGGATAGTTGGAGGACAAAGAACTATGCACATGCACCGATTCTGGCCAGGCCCATCCTGAGCCCAGGATCGGTGCATACGCCCTCCTACCTTGGCCAGGAAGGCATATGCACCGATCCTGGGTCAAAGATGGGCCTTGCCAGGATCGGTGCATGTGCATAATTCTCTTCTCCCGAATAGTGCGGGCAATGTCTATTTCTTGGGAGGCAGCTACTGGGAGGTTGTCGTCGGAAGGAATAAGGAGGATGGAGCCCCATTGGGGGGGCTGTTGCGCCAGAGTGGGCCTCGGGTCAGGCGGGATTACGCCGGATTGGGCGGGATTTTGCGGGATTAAGCCGGATTAAACGGGATTTCGGACCAGGGCTAAATCAGAATTTGACCTCCCAGGAGTTGCATCCGAAGACATCGGGCGAGGATAGTGCGGGCAGTGTCTATATCCACATCCAGTGCGTCTTGGAGTTTCGGGCTCTCTCCCCAAGAAGCACGAGGCGCACTGGATATGGACTAGAATCTGGCTCCCAAAGGCTCGATGTTTATCCATGTCCAGTGCGCCCCGGCCTTGCGGTGTCCCTTCCAAGAAAGTCCAAGACGCACTGGAAATCGATAAAAGTATTGCCCGCAGATAGATCGAGAATCTCTGAGATCCGGCGGCTCTGGAAGATGTGTCGGGCGAGGATAGATCGAGAACCTCTGAGCTTGAAAGAGGAAAACGCCACAAGCATAAACTGTGGGCGCTCCGTGCGGGTCTCTTGCCTGGCGGCGCCTCCGGCGCCGCCCCTGGCGCGTTCCAAGAAATCCGCGCAGACCTCCAAAATATTAGATGTCTGTGTTTTTTTTTTGAGCAGGGACCGACCGTGCCGGCATTCCTATGGTCCCACCACGAAATTTTCTTAGAACCCAAACATGTTCGAATAGCAAAAACATGGCTGTGTAACATTAGCCCCATGTGAGAGAACAGGACAGACTCCGCCAGACATGTTCTGAGAACATTTCGCGGAAACCACAAAAAGGTTCTCAGAACATCGTTTGGTAGGGCTATAGGCGAGCCAAGACGCTGCGCCACTGCTTGGTTTTCGCTGCTCCTCGATGAGATCCGGCGGCTCTGGAAGAGGTGTCGGGCGGCACGGCCTCCTCTGAGCCTTCCGGAACGCTCTCTGTGCGAGGCGGGGATTTATCCATATCCTCCGCCTGGGAACCGGTGTCCTGGTGCCCCATCGGGCGGTGGATATGGATGTCTCTCTCTTTTTTTTTTTCCTCTCTCTCTCTCTCTCTGACGGGCCTCGAAGCGGCCCCCCGGGCCTCGCAGGGCGTTGTGCCAAGCCTTCCCAGCACACCTAGGGCGATCAGGGGGGTCATCGGAAACGGGCGATCAGGGGGGTCATCGGAAACGCCCCAAAGACTTCCCAACCAGCACAAAGGCGCTCCAAGAGTGACCGACGTGCCCTCAAGATGGCCCAAGAGGCTTCCAGGACGGCCCCAAAGAGGCCTCCAAGAGCACTCCCAAGAAGGCCCCAAGAGGCAAAAATCACGGATTCCCAACCAACATGTGTTGTCGGGTCCTCGTTTTGAAGAAACGGTCCCCGCGTTTCCTCCTTTTCCTCCCTCCTCCCCTCCTCTCATCATCATCGTCATCATCGTCATCATCATCATCATCATCATCATCATCATCATCATCATCATCATCATCATCATCATCATCATCATCCTCATCTCAACGCTATCCCGTGCCACACCCTGCAGCGTTCCACTTTTTGCTGTGTGGGCCGGGGGCCTGGGCAGCCTGGTCAGGGGCCGGGACGCAGTGGCACCCGGGCCTGAACGAAAGGAAAACATTTCAGCGCGCTGAGAGACGAACACACGGCGAGGGAGCGAACGGGGAGGGAGGGACGTTTTCGGAGGATAAACCCTCGCGGCACTCAATCGCTAATGAGATGACAAGTGAGACACGACCATCTCAACGCTATCCCGTGCCACACCCTGCAGCGTTCCACTTTTTGCTGTGTGGGCCGGGGGCCTGGGCAGCCTGGTCAGGGGCCGGGACGCAGTGGCACCCGGGCCTGAACGAAAGGAAAACATTTCAGCGCGCTGAGAGACGCCCGACTCCCGAACGGTAACGTGGCCCCCGGAGCGGACCATGAGGGCACGCACCGCAGCCGGGGCCGAACACTCAAACTTCATTAACTAACATTGACATCCTGCTGAAACCGATCCAATCTACCTGACATTGAATGATCCTGGCAAAAAACTGACAAAACTTCTTACAATATGGCTCGGCCCGTCGAGTCCAGAGCATGCCAGTGGACCGGTCAATGCCGGTCAAGACGATGTGACGCTTGCACGAGAAAGTACGCATCCCCCCCCGCCCACGGCAGAGACAAGGGGGCGAGGAAGGGGGATGGTGAGGGGCCCAACAGGTCACCCGGGTGCGTTTTCGCCACGGGGCCCCGAAAGAACACATGTCGAGCATATACGTCTTGCAATCGGGTTTGGAGAGCAGAGCGGCCACAGCCGGCGCCGCCCAGAGAAACGAAACCCCAGGGTTCTCTAAATACACTGGGGTGGACAGGCGGCGACACAAGTGAATGACCTTAACTGTAAAACGCATTTGGGCATTTCCCGAGCGGACGGCCTGGAGGGATCTACCCGAGAGCCCCTGGAGCCCGAGAGGAAAGGCCGCGGACCTGAGAGAACACCAGGAGGTCCCGGGGGGGCCGTGCCGCGCCCGGCTCCAGGAGGCACACGGGGTTCCCAACCAGACGGCTCGCACAACTCGAGATTTGAGCCACCCCAGGACCATCTGCTGGACCTCGGGGCGGCTAAGATCACGCCAGGGCCGGCGACCCTGGTCAAAGTCCAGGGGAAGCACGGCCAGGCCGAGAGACGATATCCGGGCGGAAAGACCACCGGATCCAGCAAAGAGTTCCAGGAAAACAGTGCGAGCTTTCACTGCGTGCCTCGGGGCCCTCATGCATCGTCTTAAGTCTTGCAAGAGCCTGCGGCAGACCGTGCAGGCGGAGGCGGGACGGCTGCCCCCCTCAGGAAGATCTCGGCCAGCGCCGCGTCGACCGCCCTGCCGAAGTCCAGGACCCCGGCGGGAAGCTTCGCCATCTCCGCCAGGATCCGCCCGGGCTTGGCGCACCGCAGGAACGACCGCGGGCTCGCCCAGCCCCCTCGCGCCTGGATCTCCAGGGCGGTCCGCCGGCGCGCCGCGAGGTCGTCGGAGGCCCCGCCGTGCCGCAGCTGATATGGAGAGGCCAGGGCAAGGCCGAGCTCCTCCGCGGCCGCGCGCATCTTCTGTCCGAGGTCGCCCGGGGGGTAGCTCCACAGTCGGTCCTTCAGCGCCCGGCACCGCCTCTTGAGGGCGAGGAGCGACGGGCCGAGGAAGCGGAAAGTGTCCAGAGGCACTGTCATGTCCCACATGCCCGTCTTGCTGGGCACCCCCATCTCCTCCGGGAAGAGCACCGGCGCCACGGCGCCGCCGTTGCCGCTGCCCTCCGCGACGCCCTCGACGACCTGCAGCCCGACGAGGGAGTCCGCCTCCCCGGGCCTCATGTTGGTGCTGAAGCTCAGGATCATCGCCACGACGTGCTCCACCAGCTGCCACCGCAGGAGCACGCCGGCCAACGCGGCCACCACCAGCCACGGGAGGGGCTGGCGCGAGCGCCGCGGGACGCACTTGCCCCAGCCTGCCAGGGCCCGGGAGCAACGAGGGAGGCTCTCCGTCCCCCACCGGCTCAGGTTCGCCACAAAGAACTTCACCGCGGCCAGCAGCTTGGCACATCGTCCCCGCTGTACCCCTGGAAGTAGAGCAGGTTGAAGTATTCCACGAGCACGGAGTCGAGCTCCGCCGAGCCCCTCCAGTCCAGGTGGCTCTCGGAGGCCCAAGTCACGAAGGCCTGCGCCCGCCTGCGGTAGTCGGCCAGCACGGGCTTCGAGATCGACCTTTGCTCCAGATAGGTCAACCCCGGCTCCAGCGCCACCTTCGTCGCCTCCCGGCAACGCGCCGCAGCGGCCGACCCCGCGGCAGCCCCCAGCGCGATCCCCGCACCGGGCAGGGCTAGGGGCCGATCCAGCGCGGCAACAGCCCCCAGTGTCGGCGCGCGCCCTCTCTTCCCCCCCATCACCGTCGGGGGGGCCAGGGCTAGCATCACGAGCTGCAGCAGGCCCGACCTCCGCGGCCGCCTCCCGCTTCTGCGCGTCGATGTACAGGTAGCCGCGGGACGGGCGGTCGGCAGGGTTGAGCTCACTCGGGACCCACCGCACGTGCAGCTGCAGGCGGCAGGCCAGCGCCAGCGCGCAAAGCTCGCGCAGCACGCTGCGGAGCTGCGCCGCCGAACCTCGACCCTTGCCGGCAGCCAGAGCCAGAGACAGGTTGTCCACCAGAAGCACCAGGCGGTGCCCGAAGGCGCCCCGCGACCGCAGCGCGTGCCGCAGCGAGGCGGATAGGGCCAGCCCCTCTGCGTAGTAGATGTCGTGCTTGTCCCGCCACGGGAAGGACATTGCAATCTTCCAGCTAGGGCCCTGCATGAAGGACGCCGGGACCTCGCCGAACTGCTTGTCCAGGTCCTTCGCAGCCTCGCTCGGCAGCGCCGCGGGCCGCCGCAGCGTGGTGGCCACCCCCTCGCCCTCGAGCGCGTGCGTGCGGGCGGTGATGGCCTCATCGAAGTGGTACCGCCAGCGCTCCACGGTCCGCCCCAGCGAGGCAGCGGCGCTGCAGCTAGCCGGTCGGACGCAGACTCCGCCGCCCCACGGCGAGGCATCGGAGGCGGAGACCTCCGCATGCCACGGGGCTGCCAGGCGCGCGGAGAGCAACGGCAGCAAGTTCCGCAGCGTGCGGAGCTCCCAGCGCACCGAGGCCCACAGGGGGAGGGCCTCGTCCCGCGCAGCCTGGCAGAAGCGGTAGCTCGCGTCGAAGATGGCGAGCGACGGCCGGCGCAGCAGCATGATCCAGGTGCAGTGCCCGAGGAGGACCTCCAAGATCTCCCCCCGCGCGGACCCCCGGGCCAGCAGCTCGTCGATCGCATAGCGCACTCGCCAAAGGCGCTTCGGGGACACGCGGGCGCAGTGCGATGCCCCGCACAGCTCCAGCCCCACGAACGAGCACCTCTTGCTGGCCCGCTGCTGCTCGTGCACTGAGAAGCCGAGGTTGACCAGCTCCGACTCCACACGCGCCGCGGTGGCGTCCACCTCCGACTGGCTAGCGCCGAGCACCAAGAAGTTGTCCACGTAGGCGGCGGCACCCAGGCCGTCCTGCTTCCCCAGCACCAGCCCCTCGCTGCGATCTCGGACGTGCCGTGAGACTGGCGCACCCGCCCGCACCAGGGCGGACTCCGTGACCATCTGACACAGGTGCATGGCCCAGCTCCAACCCATGGGCAGGATGGTGAGCTGAGGGGTGAGCCAGTCGCCACAATCCACCGCTGCGCCGCCCAGAGAGGTGATCCCCACCATGCCCGCGCGGACCCGCCCGAGCTTGAAGAAGGAACACAAGCCTGCTGGGATCCGCATCGCGTAGAAAGCGTTCTCGATGTCCCCGCAGGCGAAGTACAGCGGGGTGGCGGCCTCACTCTCCAAACGAGAGAAGGATGCGGCCGACGGCAGCTCGGTAGCAGGCGCCTGTCGAAAGTGCAGGTTGACCAGCCTGGTGTCGAAGATGAGCCTCTGGCGGCCCCCCTTCTTGCGAACCGTGAAGGCCCCCAAAGTCGGGGCCTTGCCATCCCACTTGCAAAACTGGAGCATGCCACGACGGTGCAGCTGCTCAAGAAACCGCCCGTACACCTTGGGGTCTCGCAGCCCAGGATCAGAGTAAGGAGCACGTAGTCCCAGTTCAGCGCGAAGCTGAGCAGCCTCCTCCGGGCTTCGAAGCATGTTGGCCTCCCAATCCGACAGCCACGCCGCGTCGGCTGGCTGGAGGGCGGACTCGAGGGACACAGGAGCCGTCCCCTCTGCAGGCCAGGAAACTTTGTCCGTTGTAGGATGCCAAATCCGCCCGCTCCATACCGTACATGGGGCAGGCGCCGCAGAGCTCGCGAAGGCTCCCGCGGGGGCACACGTCCTCAGGCGGCCCCGGGAAAGTGGTGTACTGCTCCCGGATGTGCTCGAGCGCCATGTGCTGCAAAACTGAGGCTCGACGTGGGCGGCTG